CGGCCGCGCGCCCCGCGCTCCCTCCGCCTCCGGCCCCCTGCGCCGCCGCCCGGCCCGGGGGTGGGGGAGCCACGGCCGCCGGCGCCTGCTCCGTCCCCTCCCATCGCACGGCCCCTTCCTCCCTCCTCTCCCGGCCGCTCGCATTTCCTGCCGCCCGGGCTCTCGCGGCCCCGGAAAGTTCTGCCCAACTTTTTCTCCCCCCGCCCCGAGCGACCGGGCGCAGCCGGCGCAGTCCGGGGGCAGGTTGCCGCGCTCCTCCGCGCTCCGCTGCCCGCCCTCCCGGCTCCGGTCCTCGGGGAGCCGCAGACACCCGGTAGTCGCGGTCTGTCCCTCCCCTCCCACCTCACCCATCCTCCGCGGCCTTCTGGCCCCGGCCCCCCTCCGGCGGGACAACCCCGTGCCTAGGTGGCTCTCCTTTTCTCCTTGTCGGTGCGCCGGGATCGCGGCGGAAACCTCCCTCCCCTTTCGCCTCCTCCGGCTCCTTCCCTCCGCCCCTCCTCCGCCAGCCACTGGAATCAATTCCTTAGGGAATTGGGGCTCCGCCGCCGCCGCCACCGCCGCGGACGACAGCCTTTCCGCGCGGGACTCCGGGGCACCGACGGGGCCATGTAAGCAGGTAAGCGCCGTCTGCGGCGCGGGGAGTCGGGCCCGAGGTTGGGGGCCGCCAGGGCGCTCCGGGCGCCCGGCAGACGGCGGGGACCAACGCCGGCAGCGCCAGCTCGCGATCGGCGGCCCGGGACGCTGGCAGAGCGGTGGGGGGCGCGAGGTGGCCGGGCCGCAGGGGTTTTCTGTCCCGGTGGGAGCTGCCCGACCTGAGGCGCACGTCTGGTCTGGGCAGTGAAGGTGGAAGGTGAGCGCTGTCTGGAGAGAGTTTGCGGTTAAACGCACACCGTCGCCCCCCTCCTCCCCGTTCCCTCCTGCTTTTTGGGAACCGAGAGAGGGCCTGGAAAGGGCAGCTGGAGAGACCCGAGCGGTGGGAGCCGGAAGATGAGAGAAGAACGACGTCGCTCCGGCTCCGGCGGGAGAGGAACGCTGCTCCCCGGCCCCACTCCGCTCCCCGCCTGCCCAGGGGGGACGGGATCTTGGGAGGCAGAGGAGTTTTTATGCGCTCCCACTAGGCCCCAGCCTTGCCACCAAACTCCTGGCCTTCTTGGCCCCTACACGGGTGGTCGGGCTGGCTCGTAGGGACAAAACCTGGGGCCACATAATTTCAGAACAGGTTTGCACCTCAAACTTTCAAAGTTCTGAGTATGAACAAGTTCTGAGGGTGTTGTTCATAAGTCTCTCCTCTCTCCCGGGCATGACCCCTAAGTCTGGGTTTTGAATACTTGTTAGTTTTACACCTTTCTGAGGGAGTAGGGAGGTAGTGGTCCCCCTACCTAGCATTCCCTAACACTTCCTTCTGTTCCTGTCCCCCCACCCTCCAACCCCACCTACAAATCAAGGAGATTGTGGGGTTTGGGCTTCAGTCTGTCCAGGAACTGGCCCTTGCAGGCTCTTTGTGAAGGCGAGGAATCTCTAGACTGCAGGCTGAATATAGGGTTACAGGGTTTCCAGCAATGAGTTAATTTCTTAAAATGGCTTAGTTCACCCATTCATTCAACAAACCTAGCATTGAGCTTCTAGACTGTGCTAGGGAAACAGGATACAAAGGTAGTTCAGCAAGCTGTAACTGCAGCCTCCTGGAGGAAACCCACAGGCTGATAAGAATTATAGTGTAGTGAGGGAGAGGTGCTTTGAGAGTCAGAGAAGGCTTGGTTCTGTTGATGAGGGGGTGAGGTGTGCCCCGAGTTTACAGGGTTACAGTGGTGCTTACCTGTAGGAGTGATGAGGGGGGTGCATTCCAGGGAGAAGCAGCAGCTTGTGCAAAGTGAGAGTCATCCAGAAAAGGAGTTCAAAAAGCTGGCTATTTGAACTAGAGATCATAGCCCCAGCTCTTTGGGGTGTGATAGATAGATAGATAGATAGATAGATTGATTGATAGATAGATATCAGAAATTAAACTAGAAGCATGTTACCCTCTTATGAGTCTCTCTTTTTGGACACCCTTCCATGCCTTGCTGTTTCCACAAGCAGCAGTTGTGCGACCATCAACATTTTAATTGGCACTAATTGGCCTGTGCCTGTTTTCATTAGAATGGTACTTGATTCCCTTTTAAAGAGCCACTTGACAGCAGTAGGTGATAATACTGCAACTTTACAGAACCTTGCATTAAAGCCGCTTATCTTTTGGTGACGGGGTTAAAAGCTTGTGCCACGGAAATGATAGCCTTAATGAGTGGGGGCTAAGCGACATGATGCTCTTCTGCCTGATCTAAATGGGTGGCCGCGAGGTGCAGAAGGAGCCCATGTACGTGTCATGTGTGTGTTACAGTTTTCCTCTCCGTTGAAACGCCATTATTGCTTTAGCACAGTCGTAAGGATTAGTTTTTCTTTCTCGAAAACTTTACAAGAACAGGAGTATCTTCGGGCAAGTTGGGGTATCGCCTGATGGTCCAGGATTCAGCAGATCCTGCCTAGAGGGTTCCTCACTGTACCGTAGCACTCTGTACGTGGGTTGCCTTTCAACGGTGCCTCTTCCCTGGGCTGAAGTGGGACCGTACCAGTTTTCAGAGTGGCTGAGTCCTGGCTGACGTGGCAGAGCTGAGAGAGTACAGTTTGGAGTGTTTATCCAAGCCCCTCCACAAACACCTTCTCTTATCTCAAGAACAGCCCCTTGACAGGAGTTTTACTGGAGGTGTGGGACCTGCACCACAGACATGGCTGAGGGGAAGCCCTTTCTTGCCAATCCTCGTACTTGCCCGCCTTCCGTCATTGGTTTAAACACAGTTATTATTCACACTTTAGTTATTCAGGGGTGTGTACCCTGTGTGGGCTGGACAGCTCGAATGGAAAGAGAACAGTTAGACGTTCTCATAGGTTTTACTATGGAAGAACCTAAATAATTCAGAGAAAAATCAGAATTTTTAGGAGGGTTGCTGTCTGTCCTGAATGGATGGGCCAGGGGTCAAGAACTATGGAGATTTTTTTTTTTTTTTTTTCTCCAGAGAAGCCAACATAAACCCTTTGATTGTATAGTGTAGCCCACCTGGGTTCCATATTCTTGTTGTTTTTCACCTGCTATGCTGCCTTTGGATTTCTTAGTCACCAGTGGTTGTGTAGGATTGGAACCCATTCTATGCCTCAGCTCTGTGCTGTGCACTTTGTTAGAGATAAGGCAAGGGAAAGAGATAAGATGAAATACTTAATTAGCCAATTAAATCATTACTGCTTGGGCTGATTAAAAAAGAACGAGGGAAAACAAGTTTTGGTAATGAGGAGATTGAAACCGATGTTTGAAATAAGATCTCCCCTTACTGATTTACTTTGTGATCTCCCCTTACTGATTTAATTTACCCTGCCCTGTCTGAACCCCCTGGAGTGCTGCTTCTTTCTTTCTTTTCTTTTTTTTTTTTTAAGTATTTATTTATTTAGAGCATGGTGGGGTGGGGGGCAGGCAGCAGAGAGAGGAAGAGAGAGAATCCCAAGCAGGCTCTGCACTGTCTGCACAGAGCCCGATGCGGGATTCAATCTCATGAACCATGAGATCATGACCTGAACAGAAATCAAGATGACTGAGCCACCCGGCTGCCCCCCGGCCCGCCCAGTGCTTCCTGAGCAGTCCAAGGGGTGTGTACCAAGTTCTACAGCTTTCCTGTCTATCAGTGTGCTGGATGGAGTAGGGGATCCAGCTTTGGGAGTTTGAAATGTAGCTAGGTTTGAATTCCAGCTCCGCCTCTTTTCAGCTGTGTAACATTGGCCAAACTTTGCAGCCCTTTGGAGTGCTGTTCTTTCATCTACAAGGTGGGGCCAGTGGTACCTGACTTGCCAGGGTATTTGTGAATTCAGTGCGATGCTGTATGTTCCCTTCCTGACGTAGTGACTTGCACAGAGTAGGTGTTGGGTCAAGGATGGCTATTTATATGTTTGAGGAGTTATATGTGGCCATGAATGTGGTCTTTGTGTCATTTTTTTTTTTCCAGCAGCCTGAGTTCACATGCATGCCAACATACACATAAAGCTTTGTCTTTGACCTTTTATTTTCTTTCTTTTTTTTTTTTTGGTCTGTTGGCTCAACGCAAATGTGTTGGCTGGCAGCTTTCATGTGGCCCCTTATATAGGAGGAGGTTGAGAATTGCATGATCAGGCAGTAGGGAAGCTTGGGAAGGAAAAGCCACTTAGAGAAGGGCAGGGAAAAGAATCCTTTTCCCTGTATACCACTTACGAAAACAAGGGTCCGGTGTTAATATAAAGATCCTTGTATTTCTAATGTTGGAGTCCAGTTAATTAAAGAATGTTGAGAACAAATCTGCCTGCCTTTATTTTAGCAAGAATGCAGAAGCTAGCCAATCTTCACAAAGGAGTGTCTTTGCAGCCTTGATTTCTTTCCTTCTTTGAAGCCCAAATATAGAGTCAACTGCAACACCTCTAGTGTAATGCCAGCTCAGGTCTCTTGAACTTTAATGTTGCCTTTCATCTGAGAAGCCTAAAGTATTTGACAAACA